TCGTGTAATCATAAACACCTAATATGTGAGCTGCTAAATAATAAGGGGTTAGTTAGTTTAATTGTTACTAGCATTCTATGAACAGATTCGGTTCTTCCCTACCAAACTCAGACATCGATATGCCATACCGGGTTATCGTCAAACCTTCCTTTCTCCAACGCTGCAACTTTAGCTCTATGAGCTGTTGCAGCCAATGCGATCGAGCTCTTCCCTTTCTCATCTTGTGCAGGGTAAACACTAGCCTCGGCTAAAGAACCAGACCTAAGATCAGCAGGTGGGATAAAGCAGTCCAGAGACAGACCGGGAACATTGAAAGCGACTTCTTCAATGGTCCATTTTTCCTCCATCTTTGTCCTAGTGTGGCTCATCGCGACTTCTCCAAATCTGAAAAGGGTAACAACAGAGCGTCCAGAGTGAGCAATCATGATTCCTTCGACTTGTCTGTAATCTTCTAGAGACGAGTTGATCGTGGTTTCCCAATAAACAGTATCAGCACCACCGTTGGATTGAATCCGTGTCAACTGCGAATCCTCGATTTGAACTAAAAGTCCTGTTCTTTGACTGAAGTAACCGAAAAGAATGTGTCTTACAATCTCTGCTGGTCCTTCACTCCTCGCCTTTAACGTTTCAGGGTCAGTACACAGCTTCAAAATGAAACAATCTTCACCATTCACTTTCTTCTCTCCAACGCACTTCGCTTGAGCAAACATAGCAGCAGTAGTTCTCGGATCAAGTCCCTGATTGATCAAAGATAAAATCAGCAATGTATTGATTACAAAGACCAATGTGAGTTTTACGATTTGCGGATTAACCTGAAGCGCACGACGAAGAGGCCTGACCGGTCCTTTAGCAGTATGAGAACCAAGCCAAGGAGTATGTCGCCAAACAAGCTTCCCATTACATCCAGCACGGACCTTACTACCACCAACAGAGAGCTCAACATACCACATGTCTGGATTCATCTGCCAAAGAACGAAACCTCCAGTTTCCGACTTTGTCAAGTTCCGATTTCGAACTGTTCTTGTTGGAGTTTCAAGCTCTGAAGTTATCATCTTTAGTTTACCCATAGCATAAGCGTTTTTAATAGAGTTTTGTAACTTCTGACCACCACAAGCCGCCTTGTACTGCTGCAGAATATACTGTGCCGATGATGTTTCCTGCAAGTAACCAAAAATCAGTGAAGGATTCACAATCACAGAAATATAATAAAAATCGATTTTTTTTAAGTAACGAATTTTAATTCAATCAAAATCCCTACCAGATAATGACAATATTCCACCAACCAATCCAAAATCAGCCAAACAAAACAAAGAAATTTTGAATAAAATAGGTATCAAAAAGATTCCAAAAATCAAATCTTTTTTTGCATAAAAAATGTCGACCAGTGAGATCTAAACCAGTAAAAACCCTAGAAATTTCGGGACTTAACGATTGAGTTATCTTTGATGGTGGTGGTGGTGAGGTGAAGAAGATGAATAGGTGCGAGAGGAGCTCCCATAACGCCGAGGAGAAGTCTTAAATCGGACCTCCGATAAGCCGCCGTAGAAGTAGTCACGGACGGAGCACGTGACAATTGACCCATTACCCAATGACCTAAACCCGACCCGATTCGTTTCGAATCCTTTGAAATCTCACCTCTACTTCCTCCTCCATCATCGTCTGGATCAGGACCTTCCATTACAGGTCTTAAACTACTGGATCTTCCGATTAACGTCTCCGGTTGCGATAAGTAATAACCGGCGGCGCTGGAGCCGCCACCGCTGGAAACGGAGATTAGTTTGTTACGACCCCAGAGAAGAGCTTTCATGTGTGGGTTTGTGCGGGTTGGACTAGAGGAACGAGAACGTGGTCTGGAACGAGAAGGTGAAAGACCTCGCTTAACTTCATCTCTGAGTGATGAGAAAAACCCTTGTTTCTTCTCCATTTCTTATGGATTCTGATACAAACACTCTTCTTCTTCTTTGTCCTCGTAATCGAAAACCCTAGAAAAAAAACTTAGACGCCG